CGGGCAAATTAGAAATCTCATTGCAGTTCACCTTTAAACGAAGGTCAGTGTTAGTAATCCATATTAATAATCCGTAACTTATCAAACATTTATTAATTTATTTCAATAATTTATTTAAGGTATTTAAGGTAGTTGAAAGCTACCATTGCAGAAAAGAATAATCAATTACCGTATGATTAACCACACCGATCTCTCTCTTGAGAGCTGCGATAGCCCTCGGTGGTCCACCTATCATAAGAGCGCCCGTGTCGACGATAGCTTGACAGCCTTCTGAGCAAGAGGTGTAATTTTTTACTTGAATCCTACAGTGGGATAGCATTACCAATTAACTGACATATAATCCGTGGTTAACATATGTATAATTTAGAAAAAAAAACTACATACTTATCCATTTTGAATTGCCAGTATTCTTTGCGGGTAACATCCACATACGTAATCGGGCGTATGTAATAATGTTCATCAATGCCACCCAATAGCACTTCACCGCCCAAATGTGAGTTCTAGTAATTTCTGTATAGGTTGTATATTTTTTACATTGTTTATACATTTGCATTTTACATTGCGTGGAAAGACAAAGTATGTAATTTAAAAAATAGTATTAAGCACACGTGAGGCATACGGAAAGATACATACCGATTTAAATAGATGCTAAAAATTGGTTGGTCCACCAGATCTCGCTCAATCATGTTTTGGAAGAGATTCTCGTCTGAATAACCCAGCCCCACAACGCCGTCGCATTGTGACCAGTCCCAAAAACTTGTCGAGAAATTAGACACTTCTGCTAATACCTGTGTTGGAACCGCATTCCAATCCTCATGAAACTACGAAACGTTGATATTATTAATAAAGTATAATTGCGCGCCTTTTTTCTTTCGGAGAATAATAGCAACATGTACTTTTTAGAAAATTTTCATAAATTATGACTGTGATTAGAATTAAATATATTATTTACTTGACGATGACTTACCCTTACGTCATCATAAGAAGAGTTTCCGTACAGTATGCCATCTTGCCACATTCCATTGTGGTAAGGAATAGCAAATGGAGTTGGGCCTGCATCGGGCACCACGTTTGTGGTAGACTTTGTACGATCATATTTATTATGTTCCACTGCAAAAAGTAGTAAATAAAATTAAATCAGTTAATATTGAAGAATCTAGAAATATAAATTTCTCTATATTAATTTAAATATATATAACTAACAGTAGTTAAATCATCAAATATATTTATGTTTATATTTTTTGCTTTAACATGTGAGCTGTTTTGTATAAGAAATTATTTGTATCTTTAAAGTAAGTGTGCTAAATAATGTAAATAAGAGAGTATGTAAGTATGGAACTTAGCTACATAATATTTACCTTACCACTGATTCGAATCTTTGAAACTGCTGTTGCTTTAAAGATTTTATAACTTTACTTGAAATATAAATAGAACAGATACAATTCTACAGCATTATTCTTCTCTTATATTTTTACTTGACATCAATCATTAAACGAGAAAAAAGTTATTAAGATTATTTTAATACTTGAAACATTAATTTTTTTAATACACTAGACACTACAGACGCGCGCTACGCGCGCGCTATTTATCTTTAACATTTCACTATTAACCCTATTATACACAACTGTCAAAATATACAATGACAGCTGCAAATGAAGTAAGCGCAGCAAGGAAACCAATCGGCATCGCGGAAAAGCGGCAACAATAAACTTCACATCTCCTTTTTAGAAAAGGAAAATGTACATAGGAATGATAGATTGTCGGGGAGGTAGCGATGTTATAATATACTTACAGCAAGCAGGTTGGCTAACGTTGCAGTTTTTGGATGGTATCCAGAGTACAAAGGAACCAGTATCGAAAAGTACATTAAACTTTTGCGGTGGAGTTCCAATAAAGATAGTACCGTAGTATTGAAGATCTTGGTAATTAATAAGAGGTATGATTGCGTCCAGATTCGGATAACGGAGTCGTCTCATAGTCTCCGTCGAAGATTTTTCAACGGAGGATGTCGTGTTAGTCCTGTATAACGGAATTCTTGAAGCAACATAAAAAAAATTCCGTTATATTATATGCGTATATGTATCGTATAAACGCGAATGTATATGTACATATATCGTAGAACATAAATACGAATTTCTAATAATTTATTTGATTATTTTCAAGCACTTTTTATTTAAAAACTATTAAATCCTCGACATTTTGGCATTAAAAAATAAATGCTACCTGCATATATTTACGCATTAGAATGTAGTTAGGTATTTTAAGTGAGATTGGTGTCATCATGAAAAGACGATAATCTCACTTAAAATAAGATTTTCGAAGGAATCCTCAAAGCATCTCTTGCAATTAGTTTGCTCACTTTATTCCACTTTTAAAATGCGTTTTTCTTACAGATTTGATAAAATTATGGTATTTGAAATTGATTTGATAATTATTTATCGCGAATTCTGCGGCGATTCCAAGTAGTTGGAAGCGCGATCTCTATACGATATTATAATTCATCGTGTCGATATAAATGTGGATTGATTGTATATAACATGTACACTCACCTATGCAACTTCGCGTTGATTGACGCGAAGTTGATTATGCCCGTTCTAGACTGGAGGATGAGCCGACTCTCGGCTCATCCGAGTGAGTGGTGTAGACGGGTAAAAATCTATAGGTTATGTATAGTTTATGTCACGTACACTATAGAAGGCGGATGAGCCGAGAGTCGGCTCATCCTCCAGTCTAGAACGGGCATTACCGTGATTACCGTCATCGTCACAAAAAGCCGATACATGATGAATCCTGAATTTCTCGGCGACTGAAGCTACGAAAGTCAAAATTGTTTCAGGACCGTTAAAACTGCGAGTCAATCCACAACCGATACGTACAGACAAAGAACAGGCAGTCAAATTGTTGAGCGTTCCCTTATATACAAATGTGCGTTTATGTCCTTGTGCTTATAAGAAGGTGGGGGCAGGAGGGCAGAAAAACAAGCGAAGCATTCCAAAGCTTTGTGTTCGAACGATATTAGAAATTGCTTCGAGATCTCGGATGGAAAAATAAAATTGACTAATCATATTTAAGCAATTTGACAATTGACCAATGCGAATGATCAGTTGCAGAAAATTTCAGAATTTTATCAACATAAAGAATTTATCAAATTTAAGAATTTTATCAACATAAAGAATTTGTCAAGATTAAGAACTTTATCAATATAAAAAATTTTGTCAGTTTCCAAGAATTTTCTCAATTGTCAAGAATATTTTACATTTCCAAGCATTTCTCGAATTTCTAAAAATTCGGGCTTTCAAATCCGGCTTACGTGAAAATCAAAAGTCTGGAAAATTGACAAAGTATTGCAATATAATTAGGAATATTCAGGAAAACAAAGTGAAATAAATCATAACTTCAAACGTTTTAATTCCAAGAATATCTTTATTATTCATTTCTTACATTTACATTATGAGTAAGACTATATGTGATCATACATATATCTTTAAACATCGAGATATTATTAAAATTCAAGAATATAATTATAAAGTATAAAATAGAGACGATAAATTATATAACATCAGTAATTAAATTCGTATGCATATTCTTATCAAAATATTATGCTCGACAAATATTGAATGTCTCTAGTAAACGTTACCTGACAAATCTTGCTGACAATAAATCCGCCAAACATTAATATAGTTTTTGAACATCAAGTTCATCGAAAAGTATCCTTTGTCTTCATGATAGTCAATAGAATAGAAGCTGTTATTATTGTCATTAATAATGCTATCCAAGTTATAGAGCTGAATGCCTGGAACATTTATCGGTGAAGAAAAGCAGCAATTTATTCCACTTTGTTACCGTGAATCTTTAGCATAAATTATCTTAACACTGTTTTTTGTTCAATGTTAACACTTTTCCCAGAGATGTAATTAAACAATCTTAAGTAATTGCATTTTTAATTTTATAAATGAACAGGATGATTATAAAGTCTTTGTGCAGTTTTAAACTTTTATCATTGTACAATTAGAGGGATAAAAATTACAGTGGTGTAAATCAAATATTTTGAAAAAAATTTGACTTACACCACTCTAATTTTTAGCCCTCTAATTGTAGTTAATATAATTACCATAGGCATATGTAATAGATTAAATAATGCATGTCTACTATTAATAATACACCTAATACTAATTTATGTATAAGTATTGTTGATCTAAAGATAATTATTACCCTGAACTATAAAGACCATTGAACTATAACCATGTATGGTTATAGTTCAATGATAAAGACCATTCCACCAAGGCTGTGTTAGGCTCCTTAACCCGTAGTGGTCACACTGGGTCCAATAGACCCCAGGCTATTTTTTTCTTAAAAGTATACTATTTTGAGAGTAAAACGCAGGAAGTTTTTTTTGCTTTATCTCAAAAATTGACATTTTGGTGAATATTTTTGTGAAAAAAGTCAAATTTCTCGAAAAAAATTTTTCTCGCGTTTTTTCAACATAAAAAAATTTTAAAAAGAAGAAAAAAATAGTGAATTATAAAGAGGAAGTCTTAAACTAAATTCCAGTTCAAGATTTGAATCAATACACCAAAAAGAACGCAAATAGCAACTGTTTTTCTGCGTGGGGTCTATTGGACCCAGTGTGACCACTACGTTATTTTTAGGAGGTGTGACCACTACGGGTTAAAATAAAGGCGGTATGGCGAGCGCATCAGTGGTATAGTATAGTCGATGACGTTTTGTCTGCCAGTCGTCATCGCGAATCCGGAGATGCCGATATCAACTTCATTGGCCACCAACTGGCCGATCGCACCTGTCCACACCATTTTCTCTTTGCTCCAGCTGCCGAATCCCTCCGCCGGATCCAGAATCTCCACCGTGAAGTTCATCACTTTGCTGAGCCCTATCAGCAACAGACCGAAAAACCCGCCGATCGTACCGTTCTCGTGTGAGATCTAGGTAACGATCATGTAACTTTTTCCCTAGAGCGAAAACGTGAAAAGTGAAAAATTTCATGTAACTATTTCTTTCTATTGGTATTGAATAGAAAGAGATAAACTTTTCACTTTTCACGTTTCGTCCTAGGGGAAAAGATACATGATCGATCCCCAGCGGCGAGTTCTTCGTGCATATACCAACAGAATTGTCAAGTCAATTTACGCGATTCTATACGGATCTATAAATCATCGTTAAGGATTAATAAATAATCGTTCTAATATCGATTTCGTGGGAAATTGCGAGATAATTTTCTTTTAAGGCGACTATTTTCTAAAAGGTCGTCGCTCGATAACGACCAATTTCTAGTTCGCAAAAGAAGCAACGCACAACGGAGCTCGAGGAAGAACGAAGAACTTACTTAAAATGCAGATTAACGGCTACTGTGTAAAAAATAAATGTCAATTTCGTCCAGTTGGACACTGTTGCAATAAATATAATTAACGTTTAATTCGGAAAAATTATCCCTCTTGTGAACTAAAACGAACAGGTGAGACTGTAGAGAGGCACAAAGAAATCGGAATCCCAGATCCTGCTAAACACAACAATGAATCGAAAAGTCCTTTATCGAAAAAGCTCACAGAGCGGCTATCGCCGCCAGAGGGTTAAAGAGAAGAATGAAGGTACTGCGATTCTCTCAAGAATGCGAACGCGTGACTAAAAGATGATCATCGCATACAAAAATTTATCGGATCCTAGGATCTATATAATTAATTATTGCAGCAACATTATTACAAATTATGTAGATGGAGGTATGCGACGGTACAATTTTTATCGGCGAATCATCGGCCAAACCGATAAATTATTCGCTGTCGTTAAGCTCACCATAGCTGGCATTACTTATCCACCTACTTCTTATACACCCATTACTATTTCAAGTTATATCGACGTATCTTAGCTTATTTCAACTCGATGCATAAGATCAATAAATTTAAACGTACATATCTCGCAAAAGGGATGTGGCACTCAGCAAGAAAATAATTTAATATATATTCTTTAATTTGATTTCTTATATTGGATACTTTGAATGATTGTCAACGAAAATTGAATAACTTTCAACAAAAATGCTAAAACTGAAGTTTTTTTTCTCGCTATAGGAAGATGTTTTAATTTTTTTTTTTTATTTTAGTGTTAACACGCTGCAAACATAATAATTCGCAGTATAATAACTTATATCTTCATCTATGTACTATAATCACTATTATAGGCTTAAAAAAAATTCAAAATTGTTAATAATATTAATATTTAAATAACATTTCGAAAATCATTCAAGATCGTCCACGCACGACTCGTAAGCCAGCCATCCTTCTCATTTCATCTTTGGCAGAGCTGGATACATTTGAAAATATCGACGACATGTTTAATATGTTTAATTCTTAAATTTTTTAATACTTATTTTCCCTCAGTCGCGGAAACGTGTTGCGACTCACAAGCAATTTATCACTGTTTATTGTCTATTGAATTAGCAAGATTATTTCCAATTACCCTGATACTGTTGATACAACATCATTTTTTTTCTCTATGTGCGTCAGCATGAAAGAAATCACACGGTAGATATTACATGGTCTCTGACATAACTTTGATCGCTCAAAAGGTGTAGAGCAGAAGTGAAAGTCGAGCTCCTCGATCGCCGAGTAAACTTTTACGACGACTAATTGTAAGTCGTAGTCGGCACTGCCACGTAGAACGATTAACTTATAGGTACCATCGTCGACGAATTCTTCTATCATCTGAAAAGCCAGAATGCGAGTGCACGCCGTTATAGGAAGCAGACTAACGCCGCCGAATAGTGAACCGCTATCAATACCGCTGTCAAAAATAGCATCAAGTACGCGATGTGCAACGACATTCTTTTCGGAAGAAAAAATTTTACTTAAAACTCCAGTCAACTTTTGAAAAAGGAAAAAATAGAGTCCAAGATTAATTCAATTAAAATAAACGGCACAGTATTATTATTACTAGGACATGTATAACAAATATATGTTCTAGCAATAATAATACTGTGCCGTTTGGAAGATATTTCGAACTGACCCCCGTAATCTCCGTACTTGTCTCCAGGATGAGTGAATTAACGAGCGCCGCGGTTTAACGTCTTCGGACGCTGAGTGTCATGTCGACGAAGACGTCGACGTTGAAGTGAATCCTTGCCGAAGTGCCGAGAAGAACGACAAAGCGACATCGGACCCGCCGAACAGACCAATAATCTTTTTTTTTCACCGTTGGAGGATCGGTCGAGAGAAGTTTACAGCGCGATAGACCGGGAAGATCAACTAAACGGGTAAAACTTCCGCTTAACAGGACAAATGTCTTCTGGTTGCAGTAATACGCGGGGTAAATGCAAGGACGTAAATACATATCGAGCGCTTAATTCAGATAACATAATTGCGGTGATTCTGCGGGCGATGCGACGTGGAAATTGCGACCGATCAAACGGGGTAATTTGCTTAAATCGCTTTCCTTTCTTGCGCGGTCGCTAAATTAAGAATCAACGATATCTTCTTAATATTCATATTGAATAATTAACATAAAATGCGAGATCTGAAAATGTACGCAGTTAATTAAACGCGAGATCTTCCCCGACTGTTTAAAGTTACAGTAAATAAAAGTATCTTTTTATTACATATTCTAAAAGTAATTAAACATTCTATTCATGTCAGATAATAAACATGTTCGGAGATATTGATTAATTGCTAAGCGCGATTAATTCTTAGATTAGATTTGCACCGATGTAAATCACTCATATATGGCGATACGAAAGTGAATGGTTATAAATGTGATGCGAGACTGTTGACTTTCCGCCCATAAATTTGAAAATATCGTTCGTATCCGACTCTGGACACATCCACATGACTTTGCGATTTTCAGTAGACATAAAGGATATATATATATGTGTATATATTATATATTATTATATTACATATATGTATGTATATATAAATAATGTATGATCGACGATACATAAGTCATGAAATGCATAGAACGATTGTCGCAACTTCAAATTCTAAAAAAATAAATAAATAAACAAATTAGATAATTAAATGAATCACAACAGCGGCCTTATTGTTGCGGATTGCGAGCAATAAGTAGTTATCTTCAAGCTATAATCGATTATAAAAACGTACGAGAAAAATGCAGAGACCGACCTCAAGCTGATAATGTATTTTCTATATATACATATGTCACATCTGTTTGTGCGATTGCTTTCTGGACAGCTCTTATTAGTTTCAAAGTTAATGCATAATGATATATGATTCATCGATCGCCTCGCGGTCGGAGAGAGCTGCTGGCGCTCATCAAATTCGCCTAGTAATCATGGCACCAAAAATGATTCAGCGACTACCGTGCGAACAACCGACCTTGTTGGTTTCACAACAATTGCTAATTTATGAGCGATGTTAAGATACAAGAAAATAGTGACTGTTATAATATCGTCATTCAATCAGAGAGAATTTATATCGTTACTTTTATTGACATCGGCATTTTTAATATTTCCTGCTTCTCCGATAATTCTAATTTGTAAATTATAATTACTATAATAGCTATAATAGCCACAAACGTATTTATATTATCTCGATCTATACTAACTGATTAAAATTATTTAATCTCAATTGCATTTTTTTTAGATTTTTCTGTCAATAACAACATTTTATTGTCGTTTTACGCGCCGCTTATGTGACGTACTAAAAAAATGCAATTATTTCCAAATTCTCGTCGACGACGCAAAACGTCCACGCGTTGCGGCACCGACGAGGTTTTCAGTCGTGGCACACATTTATATTTTATAATTACGCAAAATAACGCGCGGTTGTCCTCGGCTTATCGTCACCTCTAGTCGTTCGTAATAACGCGAATGTAGCGAAAGTTATATAAACACGTTTGTCCGTCGTCCGCGTGCGCGCATAGACAGCGATCTAGAAAACGTGGAGTTGAGCGCGTCACTCCGCAAAATCGCATGGCCGAATGAATGCGCACTTTTCCCCGTTACTTTCCAGACGCTTCTAGACTGTATGCGGCTCTGTCGCAATATTTCTGGACCGTTCCGCGCCTATCCGGCGAAGCTATCGATCCGCTCCACAGCGAAAAACATATGTGTAGAAATGCGTAATATTATATATATAATGAGAATGAGATAAGAAATATGCGATAAAATTTAACGAAATTGAGAAACGAATGCATTGAGAAATAAGAGAAGGCCGCAGTTGTAATAAAGAATTGTGTATGTATATATGTTGGATATATATTAGTTATTTACAATACATAAATTGTAAAAAGTCTATTTTTTAATATATTCTGTTTAATATCTTTTTTAAATACCGGTTTGAAATTACGCATGTCATTTATTAATCATTTTACAGTAAATTTCAAATGCAAAACTGAATTTTCGAGAATCAATAACGCGTAAAATCACCGTCGAAATCCACGTCAGGAATAAAATCAAGTCGATTGTTTTACGCATTATTCTCGCATCGCGGAAAACGTTTCCACAACTTATCATAAACAATAATCTAATGCAACAATCTAGTGCAATATTTAATTTTAACACTCCAGCTAGTTTAATAAAAAAAAAGAAGAAGGTGAAAATCATATTATGCCCAATGATGCAACTACGTAGCGCAACGACGCTATCACCTCATTCACCTCCAATCGTGAATCATCGTGTAACGATAGTCACGTGGTTTACCATCTGTCAAAATAGGCAGACTCACTCAGAAATGGCGGCGCGTGCGCCGACTTCCGCCGTTCAAATTCATCCAACAAGAAAGACCCTTTCCCGTCCCGAAATCGTCATCTTTCCGTGCGAAACCTCTTCCCACCGACGTGTCCGAATCTTACCATAAAATCGCGAAGAAGAAACGAAAGAAACGACAAGGAGCAACGGCGGAAGGATCGAGAACAGCGCGCGACGCCGGAGTCGCCGGAAGTGACTGGCGGCGCCTAGAGAGTGTCGACGTGACGGACGTTCGGTGGATTATCGATCGTGTATAAAAGCGAGCGGCCGCGGCGTCGTCCCGACAAACGACGCGCGACTCTCGACGCAACTGCATCAGTGAGGAATTGAGGAAGACGAAGAAAACGGGGAAAAACGATATATACGTATATCGAGGATATATATTTCGGATACTTCGAGACGTTTCTTCCGTAGTCTTCTCTCCACGTTTCAACGTACGCCGAACCGAACCGACGCGACGATATGGCCAGGCAGATTAACAGGCAGGCGAAGCTGAGCTTCAAGGTGTACCTGGAGGACCCGTGGACCTGCACGGAAGTGCGCAGATTCGGCGTCGACGCCGATGTCGCGACGAATTTCGTCTACCTGCGCGAGAAGCTGCAGACCATCTTCCCGGATCTGCGGGGCAAGAACTTCACCGTCAACTGGAAAGGTGAGGTTCTTTGTGTTCTCCTTTTTTCTCTCTTTCTCTCTCTCTCTCTCTCTCTCTCTCTCTCTCTCTCTGTCTCTTTCTCGAAGGCGGCGAACGCAACGGCGAGGTTGTTGATCTGACGTCAGCAATCGACGTCGTTTATCAGTAGCCTTGTATCACTTTAATGTTCTGCGCTGTGCGTTATCTTCCGCGAGCTGACGACGTATTTGATGTCGGCAAAAGCAAATTGAATTCAGAACTGCGTATAAGTACCTACTCGTGCCCAGCTTTTTGTGTAGTTTCCTTTTTTTCTTATTCATAGGTACTTTGAGGACAAAGGTATTTGTGTATACACTTTTTTATCATTAAGGCTGCGTTTGGAAACGTCACCGAGTGCACACGAGTATACTCCCTTCTCTTTCTATCTCAGTGAGTTAGGAGAAGGGAGTATACCTGTGTCTATCCGGGTGACGTTTCCGAACGCAGCCTAACAGTTCAATTATTCAAGAAGCAAAAACTGTTACAGCAATGTATAAATGTATAATGTTAAATTGTTGAATCTTTAATCTGAAACTTGAGACCCTGAAATTTAATGTAAAATGTTTTGTAGTATCTAAATATAATGTATCCTTTCGTTTTTCCTGTTTACTGTGCAGATCGAGTGTAAGAGGCACTGAAAACAAATTTTGATATATTAATTCTTGCACAAATGCACAGCGAACCTTTATAAATTTATATTTTCAGCGTAACCTTATAATATGAAGAAGTAAAGTTACTATGATCTATGATACGGTCAATGTTCTTTGTGTGTTAAACAGAAGTCACAGCTGTTAGTGTACTGGGTGATCGCAACTAACTATACAACTTGTCTTTTGTTAATTGTTACTAATAGATAATGAACACGAGACCATTACCATATCCACCAACGAGGAATTGGAGATCGCGATACACGAGATGGATAGGCACAACATCTACAAACTGTATATCTCGCTGCGAGCAGAGCGAGACCCGATAGATATGTTGAACATGGAAACGCTGCATCCCGGCGTAGTATGTGACGTGTGTGACAAGAATATACGTGGCTTCCGCTTCAAGTGCATGCAATGTCCGGATTACGACTTGTGCACCAGCTGCATGACGGCGGGCAATCATCCGGAGCATTACATGGTCCGTATGACGCAGCCGATCGAGTGGACGAGCTATCACGGCCGCCGCTTCGCTCACCACATGCGCAAGTTCGTGAAGAAGGCGGCGCAGCACTGCAAAGAGGACGAGCGTAGGTGTCCGCACAGGAGCAAGCGAAGCAGCTGTCCCATGTTCGGCACTGATGGTAAATTTGGGACTTTTGATCCGTCTATAATAAATTCACTGGAGAATTTCGTAATAGACATTTGTGCCGGTCCATCAGACGAGAGCCAGGAGCAGAAGCGGACTAAGGAGCAACAGAGGGAACCATCCGCCGAGGCTGCGACCGAGGCGACGGAGGATCCGCAGCGGGAAGCGACCAGGCACTCTTTCTCACAGCTGTTGAAGATCGTCGAGGACAACATCTCCAACATCTCGCAGTTCCTGGATCCGCTCGGCATCAACGTCACCGTGATGGCCGAAAACGATTCCGCCAAGAACAAGCCCGCGAGCAGCGCTCAGACGAAGGCCAGTACGCCCGAGAACCGCGCATCTACGTCTTCGGAGGACTCATCTAAGAAGACCTTCCCCGGCGAAGGAAAGAAACTGCGCGACGATCCTGTAAGTACCGCAGCTACTCCTTCGACGGATAATGTATCGTCACAAAAGGATGCAGCGGCAACAGCAGCAGCGGCAGCAACAGTAGCAGCAGCAGCGGCAGCAACGGCGGCGGTAGCAGCAGCATCAGCACCAGCACCAGCATCAGCACCGGCATCGGCACCGGCACCAGCAGCAACATCTACTGAACAAGCGGCCGAAGCCGAGGAATGGACGATGATACAACGCGAAAGCCCCAATATTAGTCGCACCTCGTCCATTTCCTCCTCCACGAACGGAAGTAGTACGCCTAAACAGGTACGTTCCGCATATATGCAAAATAAACAGTAGTTGACTAGAACATGCAGAATTAATAAAATATTAAAAGGTTTCATGATATTTAAAATACATATAATCATAAATGTTACTTTCCAGACATAATCGCACAATATTAGAGAATTAAGATATATAATTAAGAAATATGATAATTTAACATATACATGGTGTTATAAAAAGAGGATTCAGGATTTGAAGGATTGATAGAACCCTATTTGCAAATTATTCGCTTTACCAACACTGAAAATTAATTTCTAATTCTGATAGAACTGATTTTTTTGACCTACTCAACTCAATAGATACTATCATTGGTACCAGGTACCAATGATAGTATCATAAGTCCTGAATCTTATTTATTGCGCGTGTGTACGTATCACGTATTCAGAATACCTCATTATACAGGCTACTACACCATCAGCACCCATGGGAGAGCCAGAAAAAACACCGTCAAACTCGAGAATCTACCCACCCTTACCTGAAGAAGTAAGAAACGAGTTTTATCATCCAAATCCCAAGATCCAACGCGCCGTAGAAGCGATGATGGCGATGGGATTCTCCAATGAGGGCTCATGGCTCACCCATCTGTTGGTTGCGCAAAACGGTAACATTGACAAGGCGCTGGATGTAATACATCCGGTACGGATGCCCCATCATTAGGGGGGATGGGGCCAAACTTTAGTTAACGATAGCTTACGTAATAAACGGCAACAAAAAAAAACAGTTAACAGTTAATAGTCTATACTTTCAATAGTTGGTATGATAGTTTATAATTATCATTTGTTAGATATTATTATGTCTTTTTTGTGTTGAATTTATTTTACACATATGATTTCGTTTTTAAAAATATGAGCAACGCATAACTTTAATTCTTATAACAGATCATTAACAATATTTCTTTATATACGTATTGCTAAATTTATGTTGTACACGAACCTGATATTATTTTACGATATTACGATATTATTTTTAAAAAATGTATCCTCATATTGTTCGTGCGATGTATGGTTGTATCCATATTCTTAATATTTTATTCTTAATCTTAACATAAAGGACACTAAAATATTCTTTGGTGACTGGATTATTATGTATTACTGTATTCTATATGTTAATAAAATATCCATGATATTGAAAATAAATGTTTTTTTTAACTTCAAAGAAATGTTCCTATTAATACAGATAAAATGAGTCTAGAAATAACCTTTATGAAGACGTAAAGAGGTACTAATAGCTTTAAAAATTTTATTATAAATATCTCAATGTTCAATTACTTTTACAAGAATTTACATCGCTCCATTAAGCCCAACGGATTTTTATTAGTAATTAATTCTAATTCTCTCTGACCATTGGGTGTTAGGTTTCTGATCCATTTGCGATCCTTGTAATACTCTATCATGCTGTCAAATTCCGCGATGTTATAGTCTTCGACTAAAACTGGCAAGAAGGGATCCAGATGCTCGAAGCCTTCTTTGCCAAGCAAATATCTGGGAAGATAGGATTCCCGTCGGTCCTGAAAACAAAAAAGATTTTTTCCCTCATTATATTAGCCATCCGTGCTTAATGCTGAAGATTCTTGAATTTTAAATGTGAAATGTTTTCATTTCTCCGGGTCCAATATGTTGAATTTTATTTTTAGATAAAAAAACGTTTAATTATGCAATACAAGTTATGGTACGTACCTTATTTGCCTTTTCGTCTACTGACAGTACTATTGCACCGTTACACCAATCGTCTTTCGTTATATCGAAGAATGGTACCGCCAACGAGACTTGCTTGGGCAGAACCATCACCTTATTGTCGTCGTGGATGTTCGTGTGACTCGATGTGAACGCGTTGAATCCGTCTATCATGACCAACGTCTTGCACTTGCCTGCAGTGCTGGCGAGTTTTAGTTCCTTTATCAACGCGTCCGCTACGCCACAGGCGTACTTCATGCGACTTATACCAAAGTCGATGAGCTCTGAGATGGGAGTACCTTGCGCAGTCATTTCGCGTTGATTCCATACATAATCCTTGGATACTTTGAGCTGCAAAACGAGCGCCCGTTAGATACAGTCGGCGAAGTAACGTATCGCGGGATGCACGTACATCTAATTGTGAAAGTAACTTCGAGTTTTGAGATTTGAACTGTTTCAACCACATCCCGGCATCGATCGGCAGATCCATGCAACCTGGAGATAATATCGAATTCGCGACCTCTTTAAAGTCCTTGAACCAACGAGCAGCTGAAGAATAAACGGCAGTTAGTACAAGTACAACGCTGAAAGATGATGTATCTATCATTTACATAAAAATATAACATACCCCAATATACATGAACAAGTATATATTTCTCCATGAGGGCATAGTGTAGTATGTGACTCAATGTAATACTTTTTCCTGTTCCGTATTTCCCGTCTATTTAAGATCATTAAGGCTTTTTCATTTGTATTATTTTGTTAATGCTCTTTTAATATAAAATATAACGCAAATTGTAAACCAATCCATTAGCGACAAAAAATGAGGAGATTGAAAAGAACTCTTACGATTTTGCAATGTAAAAAACATTGAAATAATTACGCAACGTTTTTTTTTTTGTATCGTATAGATTACATATATGTTTTTAATATGACAATATAATATTTAAAATTTAATTACGAATTTAACACATTAGACTCTATGGCCTGGTAACTTGATATTATCTTTGGAATTTGATTCGAAACGAGCCTCTTTACCTAAGTTTAATTTTAATATAAAAAATAAGCGCTTTCCTTTTCTGTTTCCAAAAGGATACATAATACATATTTATTGACGGGCCTCGTTAGGTCAGCTTGACTGAGGTAAGACATAATTTCGATCGCAGGTTGCCTGATCAATAAAGCACACTCCTGAAAAGTGGTGACTTGCTTTGCAAATGTTTGAGGTAAGCCGCCGTACTGAAAGAGTTGTTGGTGTACGTCTGTCGGCACGGTATATAATCTGGCAATGTGATCCGTATTGTGATTCACTGGATTGTTCTCTGTCGTGCGGAACGCGCATACTTGAGTCGCCTGCTCATCCTTCACCTTGACAGCCGTGCCGAATTTCCTGCCGTACGTTTTGTGTATTCCCCTCAGAAGCGAATCTGCAATCATTACGTTCGTTAAACCTTTGCCTTCTCCTTAGAGCGACTCTGATCACAAACTCGGATAAAATTAATCTGTAATTGGTTCAGCAAAATTCTTAACTATATATGAGCAATTCATTGTCCCTAATCTAATTTATTCTCGTGTCAGACAGCAACAAATCAATAATTGGATCCATTAATAAAATACTACATTACAGACATTACTTGACCAATTAATCACCAATTAATTAGTCAACTCGAGTTTGGTTAAAGTTAATGACGAACGTCATCTTGCAAGTTTTATTGTCGCTGTCATTAGTTGCACAGAATCGTGATCGCATAAATAAAATTTGCAAGAGGTAAGACAAGTCACAGTGATCACAGGCGTATACTCCAGACCACTCCAGAGCATGGTCGAATGGTTTAGCACTGACAAATTAAACACCGACGTAAATGAAATCTTACATGAACGTAAAGACATTGTGCTGCCTTTCTTCTTTCAGAACGAAGCACGTTTGACTGCAATTATCCCGAGTCTTCTTCGAAATTGCACGTTCAGCACGTTCAATAATGCACCGTCCCACACCGTGTATGCGAATTTGACATAACCTATGTTTTGAGTTACTTCGGTCGGTAAGAGGGATAAAGTGCTGCTGCTAGGTGGAATTCCTAGGAAACACATTTTTTTATGTGTAGTATTTATACGTATGGAGTATATACACATGTATGTATACATGATGTGTATATTTATGTATATGTATTAATTAAAATCTATATATATCATAAATTTAAAAATATATAGACTTTAAAACTGTTTGTATTATATATTACTATAATTTTGGTATATTTTTTTTATAGTTTAAATTTATCTTGTACAATTTAATGTTCTTATATATCAAACCTAATTATTTAATTCTTATTTTAAAAAATAGGTGAAATACAATTTTAAAAAATTGCTCGAAGGGGTAACATTACTCTGAATTCATTTTATTATTTCGTTCACGCAATTCCCGACCGCGTTTACGTATTTACAGCCTCGTAACATGATTATTTATTAACACTCTTTCGTCGTAATTACAATAGACAATCACAGATCACATTGGAACCTCGCCGATCTTCCGTAAAAGAAATAATTTATGTAGATAATAATCCATTATATTTATATTAGATAATTAGTCTCGCAACAAAATATATGCCCAATCCTTGTAAAGTTTCGCAAGATCCTTATATTATATTTTTATTTCTCCAGCGTAAGATATTAATTTATATATTTAACGTTATAGTCGCTACAAAATATAATTTTTATATATTACTATCGCGTCGTTCTTCTCTCGTGGAAGAAAATAATTTATATAATTATAATATATCAAACGCTCTAAGAAATGTGCCCAACCTTCGAAAGAGATCTCTGATAACATCCTCGGACTTTACGAAGAACGAAACCAAACGAAAGTTACACGCAAGGCCATTCGATGTTAGAAGTTGTAAAACGATCGTTCGGTTTGTTTTCGCAAAAATAGTCCTCGTCAATACGTACAGCACGTTATTTAGGAAGGTATAAAAGAACCTATGTAAGGATAAGTAGATCTCCGACATGCTTTGCGATGCTTCTATGTCTTAATCTCGTCGGCACTTGGACCCGCAATAATAACGCTATTATTGGCAACAATAGGCGTCTCCAGCCGATGATCATTCTCGTGCTTCTTTATCGTATGATTATTAGTCTTCTTGCCGGTCAAAATCATCAGGTCCGAGTGTATTCTGAAGTGCAATCTAGATTCCAGTAAATAGCCCGTATAGTTTTTCCTAGAATTTGAACACAGTTAATTTTTCCAACGTAAAAACCAACAATATTAAATATAGCATAATGTAAAATCCAAACTAACTTGGCGTCTTCCAAAAAGCTTATAGCCAGCTGAGTGTCGCCCTGATCTTGTGCCAATAACGCTAATTCCACGGTAGCATAAGGAAGTAAGTACGTGTCCTCTTTGATAGATTTTTCCAGTTGCAAAACACCTCGTAGACACTCCTCCGCCAATAAAGGATGCTGCATTTGCCGTAGACAGGCGCCCTTCAGTAGCAACAGGAGCGCTTCGTTGTCTACGTGATAATCGCTTTTCCTGCACAGTACATCACATATTTATTACTTATAACTTATAATAAAAGAACAAATTATATCTATAATTACAAAATAATAACACGAATGTTTGCTGTATTTTGCATTTTTATTTAATCGTGAGATTGCCAAATCTGTCAAAAATAAATTTTGCAAAATACCTACTATAAATTTCATCGACAAAATGCTACAAAAATATAACAGAATTTTTAATAAAATATTATGGCAGATTGTCTGCAGAATTCTGCATTGATGCAGAAACCTGCTGTCAAATTATGTCGATAGACTCTGTCGAGTACAAAATTAATACAACGTAGTTCATGTTAATATGTTACAATATTCCACTTGAATCTGCTGGCAAATTGTTAACATTTTATCCTACTGGGTCACTTCTTTTAATCTTATCACTCATTCTGTATGCCTAATTAACATTAATCTTTATCGATTTTTTTCGTTTCAAGATTTGTGCAATCATATATATTTTATAATACACACTTATGCTGAAATAACAATTAGAATTATCGGAGAAACTTACGAGGCTGCTTTAAGTTCCCTTTCCTCTTCTTCTATCTTCTTGAATATATTTAATATCAAATCCTGTCGCTTGCCTATTATCCTGAACATGTTCCACACGTACATAAGCTCAAACACGGGCACGACTAGGTTCTTCTTTTGTGCAAAATAACGCTCCGTCTTCTTGATCATGAACTTCTCCAACGGCAGCGACTTCCCGGCGATACGCTGCTTATAAACCGGTGCCTCCATCATCAGGCTGTCGATTCGCTGTTTCTCCGCACTCCAGGTGGACGGTTTCTGCATAAGCAAAATCGCGGCCTTCTGATACAGGTAGATAGTGCGCGACCAGTTGGATTCTTCCGCCAGCATCGTGGCGTACGTGTCCGCCTTGCTCCACTGCTGCATCGAGCAGTGCGCCCACATCAATTCCCAATAACAGAGAATACCGAACTGCGGCCAAACATTCTGACTTTTCCACGACTTTATATACCAGTCTATGCACTCTTCGAAGTTGGCCCGCGTGAGTTCCAGCCTTCCCTTGAAGAACAGGAACCACACACTGTTCGGATAGACGCTCAGTTCCTGCTCCAACACCTGCTCGCACCAGTCCAGATCGCCGTCCGAGTGGCTCAGTATGAAGGAGATTATCAAATTATAGGTCAGTAGAGACAACACGCAAAGGACGTGTCGCAGGCCATTCCTATCGTTGCAGCCCTCTCTCAATTCCATTAGACCGTATTCCTAACAATTAAGTTGATAAATAAAATTTAACTTCAACAATATATTCTTAGTAACTAATAGCGCTGATAAAGGATGGCTATGAGAGTTAGACGCAGTTATCAGTGCGTAAAAGATCCAATTCACTGATTTATTCACAGTGTATATATTTGAACGCCTTTCACCGATGCACCGATAACTGCGTCTGACTCTCATAGCCATCCTTTATCAGTTTTATTTAATTTCGAGAGACCAATATTTATTTTTTGATTAAATAATAGCGATAATATTTTTAGTAAATTAAACTTTAGCAATAATATATTCTTCGTGAGTAATATATGCTCATAGGATCATAATCTTAATCACCTTATCGCCGGAAAATCCGATAAACTCTAATAATTTAATGACACGTGCCGGTAGCAACGAGATCATCTGGAACAAAGTACGATTTTATAAGTATATACGATAAGATAATAGTTGTCGAGATAAAAATATATATACATATAAATATATGCATACCAAATTGAATGTACCGATGCCCATGTGAACGCCGCCTTCGAAATGCACTTTGTGATTATCGTCTTTCCACTTCCGGTTTTTCAAGATCGTCATGCATTCCCTGCAAGAGACAATAGTTGTGAATTGTTGGCGAAATCACGAATCGACGAGTCCGTTGTGGCTTATTTACTTGTACGACAGAAAACAGGTACGAATTTTCAGTCCTGCCTTGACAAAGCTGATCAGAGTCTCGTCCTCCACAAACGTGAGCATCGATTTTAAGAGGAGTGACTCGGCATAACAGAGCTCCGCATGCACTTCCTCTGCAAGATTAATCCTCGGTCATTCCTTTCATGCACTATGCACTTTACGTAAAAGCTATTTGGTTACATCTGGATTAATCAGTCACTGTAAAATTGTATCTGGCAAAATGCCTCGGCAACAATTTCTATTAATGTTAATGTAGCAAAAGATTTACAGTAGCACAGATTATGTTAATACCGTAAATTATTAAAGTTTATCAACAAGAAGACTAACTGTACGTGTTATACAGAATGTAACAGAAGCTTGCCATTAATTATTGTCACTCTCACAAAGTCTGGGATACTCTATATTAATATTTGTTGATAAATATCTCTATAAAAATTCCTCTAATTAAAAGAGCTTGAATTCACTTGTTATTAAAATCGATGTTATATAATAAATTTGACGTCACTTTTGTTAGGTAATATTCATTAGATACGCAACGAACAGACATTGCATGCCACTTTACACGTATACGCAATACATTACCGATCGTGTAAGCGTCGTAGTTAATCTTCTTGACCATTTTCCCGATGTTTTGCGTAATGGTGGTGTGCTTTCGGTGTTTGGAGCACAAGTTTATACACTGCTTCAACATCATCGACGCCTTCTCGATGTGTTCCTGCACATGACAAAATTGCACATGACAAAATTGTTAAAGAATTAGCTAATCTAATGCGATTACTAGGGTGGACGAATACAAAAAAATATTTGGAACATAACGGAAGAAACATAATGAACAATCGGAATACTTGTTCGAATGTAAACATCGCCTCTAGGTACGCGAACACGCTAGCCCCCAGAGAATGGTACAGGCTACTGTCCGCCCATGGCTCCATGATTTTTCTCGCCTCGTCGAAGTCGTTGTTGAAGAAACAGTGAATCGCCCTTTTCGACTCCATTATCGCTGTATCCAAATCCATAGACGCGAGTCTGAGACAAGATTTTTCCTCTTAAGAGGTTTGCAACGTCAAAAAAAAAGTTGACATAAAATAATGTCCAAACAATTACGATACGCAATAAAATTTAATTTTAAGTTAAAAGGTAATCTTTCTTCCTAGACAAGATTAAAGAAAAAAAATGTGCTTTGAGACACAAAATAATAAGTCAGGAAAAGAGCTGATTCTGACGCAAGTAATTTTTTTTCTCGGATAAGAGCAGAGAAAAAGCTTTGACGTAAAATAACACGTAAACAATATATAATACGTACTGTGGTAATGATTCCTGAGCATCTTGAAACTGAAATGCAAAAAGATTGAAACATATCAAATACAGAATGCGGACGTTTAAGTGCAAAAAAACATAATAAATTAGTTTCATAAAATATCTACCTCGTCATCGGCTTCAACGTCCGACATCTTTTAGCTGGTGTTAGGAAACCGTTCTGCAAAGATAATGTAATTTTGCAAAATTAATTTTCTCTTATAATTCAGTATTATATATATTTAAATTTATATTTCTATAATCCATGTTAAACTATATATTAAAAATTATCGTGCTTGTTATATAACTGTTAAATTATTTGTTATACTATTTTAAAACGTATTACAGTAACGTATTCTAGTCTTATCAAGAGAAACAAGAAAAAAAGAACTGGTATAAAAAAAAATATTACATTTAGAAAGTTACAAATCGATTTTTAATTACATTTAGAAAGTCACGAAGTTAATAATCCAAGCAGTACCGTGGACACCTCCTGCAGAAAAATAATTTCCGGTTTTATCAACTCGACTCGGATCTGTGGACAACGATAATGCAATCAACTAACTGATAACGCAAAACGTCCAAGGTGAGGTAATGTCTGCTTATGCCTGGAAATATTTAAAATAATATTTAAAAAAATATGGAGAACTTTTCGCGCGAGAGTGACGCTTTTATGGCATTCAAGGAAACGCCGTCGCAAAATGCCGCCTTGATCTAATGAACGGTGCTAAGATGTAAAAGTGACATTATCCGGTAATCGGCGAGCAGTAACGGATATAATTATACGGATGATTATAGATGATAAGGGAAACGGGCACAAAGAAACGTTGCTTCTGCGTTACACAACATCGCGGGGTATTTGCGCAAAATAAAACGTAGTCCTTGTCTCGCAATACTCTCATTCCAAAGACACTTTTAGTTTCAAATTCGTCTTCTATTCGCCGCGATATTTTCAAGGTGAATGTTTAATAAATATATAAAATAGCGCTCTGTTGCGTATGGCATCCGTTTGATTTGCATTCGTTGCAACGGGAATTATCGTTGCACTAAACTACCAAAGGGACCGTCACGGACGAAAGTTCGTTTAAATTCCAGCGCGTAATAAACAATTTAACTTTCTTATCCCCCGCGCCGCTCCCTCCCCGGGTTCCGTTCACCAATTTCACTCCGCGGCAGCTGGGAAGCCCCGCGAGCGTTAGGGGAGCAAGAAACTCGCGACAGAAGCGGTAACAAAGTGCGGCAAAAGAGAAAAGGGGACCATTAATTTTTCTTCTTTACAAAATTTCCCAAAAGCGTCACGACTCCTCGAGAGCGACGAGGAGACAAAGACGAACGACACTTCACCTACGACGCAAATTTGTCTCCTACACTGTAAAAAAATTTTGTAAAATTACAACTATAATTAAGTATAGTGGGTAATTTTGAGACCTATACTAATAGTTGTAATTATACAATATAATGGTTGTAATTTTACAAAATTACAGTACGGAAGGAAAAAGTAATTTTGTATTACAATTACACAAATTAAAAATGTGTGGAAATCTACACTTATTATAGTGGGTCTCAAAATTACCTGTAATTTTACAAAATTTTTTTGCAGTGTAATCTCCGAAAAGACGTGGCTTCTAAACGGAGGATTTTCTCCACCGCACCCTGGCGCGGCGAAGCCGGTCTCACCGGGTCGTTTAAAGGAGTCGAAGGGGATGTCAGCGAGAAAACGGCTCGGGATCGCGACGAGCTCGGCGCCTCCGTGACGGTCGGCGAGGAGCGATTTCGAACCCTGCGCACGTGGAAAGTAGACTGCCACGAAGAAAGTATAGGCAGGCTAGACCTACATTTCCTAAACCCGCGCACGACGGAGAGGAGAGGCGAGAAGGAGGACGAAGCGGCGGAGGAGGAGGAGGACGGAGAAAGCGCGCGCACTCGTGAATTTCGCGGACGTTCGCGGTCGCACGACGGCGAAGAGCCGTCCGCTAAAGAGGCTTCTTATCAAGGATTTGTGCGGCTGATACCAGACGGCGATCGCTTCCATGGCTTTATTCGTCTGATTAGATCGCGATAAGATCGCGTCTTCCTGCGAGATAACCCTGGTGGAAAAATCTTTCAGTTTTTTATATTATTAATCAGAATTTGTATAAAAATTTTTGGACTTTCTCAGAATGCTCAGAATTTTTCAGATTTTCTTACATGAATTGGAACGTTTTTGAGAAAAAATTCAGACAAAAATAAGAATAAAATATTTCAGATTTTCCTCGCCAACACAACTTTGTAGAAATCTGAATAAACATGAGAAAATCTGTGCAATTTGTCAGAATAAATTTTCATACATTATGGATACTAATAGGAATGAGGAAGTAGAAGTAATATATGTTGAATAGGAGATAGACAATTCGAACAAAGTGTAATACAAGGATAGCGAGTCTAGTCATAAATAGATGTAATTAAGGTATGGATGAAAAATTGTAAACCAAGTCCTTTCTTGGCTGTAAACACTGAAGTAGTAAATTCCATTCTATTCATACGTACACGGAGAGAATTTTCTCTTAAAATTTACCCTGAAATCATGGTAGTTGTGGGACACCATGTACCACCAAGAATTTTATGCGAGCTATTCTGCTTAATATCCACCATAATAGGTATTAATAAAAAATATTAATACCTATTATGTGTTAAAATATAAAATATGCTTGATTGATTTTACTAAAATATATGTAGGAAATTACAATTATTTTTCAAAATTTACCAATCTGCCTGGTAATTTTTATCACGTTGTTTGTAAAATGTCTTTTGTATATATTTTAAAAATTCCTTGGTTGCCAAGTTGTCTCAAGTTTATAGCGAATTTAAGAGTAAAATATCCCTTAATACTGTAAGTAATTATTTACTTATTTTGAGTATTAAAAGTACTGTTTTTAATGATTTTAATACTCAAAATAAGTAATTAATTACTAGCCAAATAATCACTTACAGTATTAAATTTCTATAAGGGATAACAAAAAGTTCTCTCCGTGTACGGATACTGAACTATTCCGAAAGTCCTCATCCAATTTTTCTGAAAGTATCTGAGAAAATATATGTTTCCAGAATTTTTCACGAGTCCCCATTCTCGCAACATTTCTGAAAAAAATATGAGAAATTTTTTCCACCAGGGCCGCGGGTCGACGTGTCGCGGAACTCTTCTCTTCTCACCTCCAGGACGGCGATTGCATTTTCTACGTACGTCACGCTGGAAATTAAAAGGCGACTCGAGATATGATTCGCTATTTAATTACGATTCAAGAAAGAGAGAGGGAGGGACGAAGAAACCTTTCGACTTCTTTCGCGTGCGTCATTCGCATTGTGAAGAAATAAGGATTAATCGAATCGTTAAAAGTGCAATAAAAATAAAGAAACAAGTTTTTCATTTACGCTTACGCTTAATCTTCGGGGGATGAAACGGGCAATTTTGCAGAAATTCTATTTCAGATAACTTATTTTGACATTATTTTCCTTCCACTTTGTTTACGTTCACGCGAGACGACGACAAGCTGACAAGTTTTGGCCGAGATTCTCGCGTTACGAGAAGCCGATTCGAATGCCGGTTTTACGGAGAAGCGTGAATAAAACGTTCCGTTTATTATGACTTATTTATGATAACAACAAAACGCGTTAACCTTTTGAATAGATACAATTTATTTTCGACACTATCCTGTATCATACAACTCCGAAATCCGGCGTGTGTGCGGCGTGTGTGCGGCGTGTGTGCGGTGTGCGGTTCGAGCGAAACAAATATTTTGCCGAGAAGCAGATAACTGCGGGCGGCGCGTCAAAACGACGATAAGCTCGACGACGCCGACGCGACGCGTCGAACTTAAACGTTTCCGAAATTAATTAATTATCTCACGCCGCGAATGACACAGTTTCCCTTCGTTCCTCGATTCTCGCGACTCATTCTCGTAACGGTACGCGGGCGCGATACGCGTAATCACGGCGGGGTCGATCTCCATCAATAATTCATCCGAAAATAGAGCACGGTGCGTGCGTGGCATGCCTGCCTGCCTGCCTGCCTTGTCTCGTTAAATAACGGCGAGAGCCCCCGCGCGCGCGTCAAGCGATAGGGCGCGCGGGTGGACGCGAAAATCGATCGTCGCCGGGAAACGGAAACGGGGTAGACCGGCGAGTGTGGAGCAAGTATATAGGGCTGTGTGTGTGTACCGTCCTGGTCTTCCGTCGCCGTACCGCGTCATCCGCGGATCAGATATCCGATATGCGGGCGCGATGGATGATCACGTGGGTGAGCCGGGTCCGCTTTTCCCGCGGTGCGCGCCGCGCTCGAAAAACGCGACGGGACGCGGCGATTCCGGCTGATTCCGGCCGCCCCCGAGCCGCGTGAAGCCTGCAACTGATTGCCGAACAGCGTCGAGAGGAACAGCGCCGACGTACCGTCGACGAGCGCGTCGCGTGCACCACTGACCTGGCGGCCGACGGCGACGGCGGTGGCGGCACACGTGACCGCACGCGGATGACAGGCGCCCAGGATCGTAGCAAAGACGACGGCCCACGGCCGGATTAGATCGGAGAAAAATATATGCCTTTCAGGTCTCTTTAAATTAATAGAGAGGGAACTGATCTTCGTTCTCGATTATAGGCTTCGATTCCCCGCTTTCATTCCCCGACGTTTTTTTCCTTCGATCCTGGACACGCATCGACGCTTCGACTAATGGATAATTTGTTTAAATTACGTCCGTTGCTGAAGATGAAGAATATACATTGTAAAAGAAATAGAAAAATAGAATCAACGTTTAATGATCAAAGGCTTTGTAATTGAAGGAACGTCAGAGGTGCAAAGTTCGAGCTTTTAAGAAGAATTCGATTATTTATTATCCCTCCTCCTCGCAGAAATCTAATTTCGATACTGACAAGAAGTAAATTAATCGGAGACTGACAAAACATTGCCTTCTTTATAGATTTAAATATGTAAGCATAACATTATATCATATGTTACGACCCCATCTATTATTTTCATTTCTTTCCACGGTGATTTTCTGTCATCTATTATCGCAATGCGTTACAAGTGTCCTTTTTTTTCATTTTCTGTTATCTATCATCGCACTGCGTCACAATTGTCCTTTTTTTCAAGTGGTGTCTTATCTCACAATAAATTGCTTCGTATCGAGAGAAGAGTAGTATGAGGAATACATCGAGTGCAGAAAGCTGTAGAGATAACGACGTAAAATAATTTCCCCTAAGGCGATTAAGCCGAGATAGAACGTCAAACGGGACGAAAGTCGCGTTCTATTCTCGGACTCTGAGGAAAACAAAAGAGATAAATCAAGAAAGTGTTTTAAAAGTATACGTAGAATCGGAAATACATATATGTACCTCCAAGTACACTTAAAGAGTGACGAACAAATCTGTCGTCGAGTTTAAAATCAATACGCCTCGAGGATCAATCAATAACTCCGAGATTCCAACGGCCGAGAATGAAAACAGGTGTGCCCCCGCTGAACCTCTTGCGTGTGACGAATTTGCAAGTCGATGACGTGTTCCGTAAAAAGAAAGAAAAAGTTGTTTCGTGGAAAACACAACAGATTTTCCTCACATTGTTCACTCGATGATCCTTATGTAAAAGAAATAAAAGTTAAGCCTATCGATCCAACAAGTATTATAGAATATTAATAATTAGCAAAAGGATTGCGTTCGACCCAACTGGCAAATTTTATTGTTCACAATACGCAATGTGCATATTGTGAACAATAAAACTTGCCAGTTGGGTCGAAAATACAATCCTTTTGCTAATTATTAATTATTCACTGGCGCGACTCAAGTTCTCCGTTATAGAATATTAATTTAAGCGTTAGAAAAAAGGATTCGAACTAAAAGGCTGCAACGAGTCGCATTGAGATCGTGCAATTTGGAATAAACGAGGATCAACGCAGAATTTCATAACGAGCTAATTGCATGATCGCCCGCGCGAATACGTCAAAGTATAACTTAGTATACATCTCCATTATAAAGTATAATGCGACTTATAATTACAGCCTTATCTCGAACGTGCGAATGTTCATTTCTTTAACATATCCTTCGTACTTTAATTGCGTGCGTATTATATAAATCCCGAGCGTTTTCCCGGCCGATTCCTGAACGTCGAGATAAAAATTCATCACTCGATATAGCTCATTCTCATTCATCTCACTTTTATTATCACCTTCCTCCACGTTCTTATTCCATGCGGTTTTTTATTCCGCCGTGAACAGGGCCTTCGA